ATAATTAAATAAAATATTTAAAAATCTAACAATGTGATTTACTGGGATTTTTTGTAGATTCTGTCTCACAGTTGAGGTGTACCTACGATGAAAATGACAGATCTGTCCATTCTCTGTAAGTGGGAAAACTTGAAAAATCGGCAGTGTATCAAATACGTATTTGTCCCACTGTACATGACACTTTGTGACACCCAGTGTTCTTTAAAGACATACTTTTTGTTCATTTCCATGACTTGATCTGGACTGACTGTATGATTTTTGTTTTTATTTATACTTGGATAACTAACAGCAGTGACATTATAAAAAATACTGCAAGTAGAGATGGAGATGTTGAAAAAATTGACAAAATGCAACAACACATATTGGCATGTTTAAGCCTTTCCAGTACTCTCATGCAACCAAATACAAACAATTACATAATATCACACACTGCTGCTTTAATAATGCATCAGAGGAGGATGGTAAACAAGGCCAGAACCCTACTTAAGTATCACTGGTAAAACAAGAGGGAAAGATTTTTTTTCTCCACTATAAATAAGCTAGAATGAAGGTCAGTGGTTGGTGAACTGCAGAGCGTATAGAATGCTGTAGCTGCAGACTGTGGAGAAAAATATTGATGTCATGACCAATAGAGAGAGAGACGGAGTAAGGCATTTAATCTTGGCCAGTGTAATAAATGGAGCAGGACAAGATGGTCGATATCTACATGAATCACTTTGAGAGCGGACAGCAGAGGGAGGCTGTATCATGTTTCACTGTCTAGCCAACATGCATCCACACTCTGCCTGCTGCTGTTGTGTCAGGTTGCCACGGAGACCGAGTGACGACAGCCACCGAGGCAGTGGCTCAGCCCCTGACTCCCATGCTGTAGGAGAGATGCAGCAGCCAGCGGTTGCCAAGGAAACTACCTTAGCATCAGCAGCACTGTAAGTGGCGTGCAATGCAGCACCATGGGATGAGTAAGCTGCACTAATCACACGTGGAGGAAGTGATTTTACCAGGGTGGTATGACACAGATGTGTGAGGAGCAGATACTAATATCAACTCTGACAGGGCCTCTGAGTTGACAAGGAAAAGAAGATTTGGAGGGCTAGTTTGATTACATCCTTAACCTTAACCCTTTGTGGATTGAAAGTGTAAAATAAATAGAGTTATTGACATTCATCTCACTTCTCTCCCTTCTCTCCCTATTCCTGCTCCCATCCAAGCCAACATCTGAGCAAACATTTTAAAATTCTCACCAACACAAGAAACAATTAACCTGTCATTGCTGAGTATGTACAGTGAAACAATAAGGATTAATCTCTCCCCTACTGCATCACCATGTGACTGCTGAAAGCCCTTTGGTGTTATTGGAGTGTATGAGGATGTAGCTAGCTGGGTGGGGGTATCAGGATTATTTTAATTCGCAGTGCATCACTGGCTGTCAGAGGGATCACAAGAAGCATTTGATTTATTTGGTTGTCAGAATGAGTTGAGCAATGGATGGTTCATTGACCTCTGTCTGCCTTCTCCCACACCACTCTTCCTCTCAGCCCACAGGTTGGGTGATTCAGAAAGAGCCGTTATAAACTTAAATACCAAACACATCCACATAGGATGTACAGAATGCACCTACTTTGAAGTGTTCATCAGGGAAGTCCCTGCAGGGCATATTTGGTATTTTGCAGTACGAGTGAGCCATAATCATGGGATTGAAACCTGAAATCTTGTGGTTAAAACCTGCTATTTTAAGCTCATATACACCTGGATGCACCACAAGAGCTTTTGAACCATGATTTTTACATAATATTGGGCAGTTGTTAACAATAGCAGGCTGTGAGCAAAGTCAGTTATTGTTTGCTCCCAACCAAGTCAGTCAAACCTGCTTCATCTGTGCCATAGAAAGCACAAACAGAGCATGAGTCTGGCCTTGAAGAATGCCACACTTGCTGTGGGCAGACCAAAATCAGGCCATGCCAGGGACACTGCCAGCATTAGACATGTAGCACATTACTTCAGCATAATTACACTGGTTATGTGGGCAACTGTCAAATGGATCTGCTAATACTCAAGCAACAAGGGTCTGTATGTGTGTATGCATGCTTTCTGAGG